GTTCCTGTCCTAATTTATGACGCTAGCTTTGAAATGTGCGCACATTGGAAGGGGCTCACACTGACACACAAGTTCAGTCTATGAATACTTCTAGTTTATTATAATGAAAAAGTGAACTTATATATGCAGAATGATGCAAGAGTCATGTGACAACAGCATAAGCATTATATTAGTCTTTGATTGGTCATTTCCACACGAAAACAATCTCCCTCATGGTATAGGGTGTGATCTTCTTCCAGGCCTTATCTCATAGAGAAGAAAAACATTCCTTTGTTTCCCAAATCACACGGTGGGAGGGGGTCTGTGTGTGTGAGCAGACATTTCTTAAGCAAGGATTTCTTATAGTACCACAAAGCCCAGCAGGCAGAAAATATTCACACAACAATGTATTAAAGTATAAAAATATTTATAAAACTTATAGAAATAGCGTATATATATATATATATATATATATAATCAATAGGAAACGAAATAGGCATTTTTACCAAATCCATCACACCGCGACAGCCTCAGGCTCCGCCTGGCACATTTCATCATAGATGACGTTATCAAGGGCACATTAACAAATGCCATACAATTTATTTAGCACCAGAATATGATACTTGGTATCATTTTGTGTAATCTCCAAAAGGGGCAGTACTGGGAGGGTGGGTAGGGGGTGGAACCAAGGGACGGTTCTCAGAGGTAAGTAGGGGGCAGATACCAGGGGTGGCTCAGAAGGTGGGAGTTCTGCACCTATTCTCTGAGAAAAAAAAGCCCTGCTAGCACCTAACTGCTACACTGGTCCATCTCAACACACTGGCACACGCACATGAACCAATGTCTTAGATTGTATTGTACTTGTTAGAAAAAATATTTAAATTTAAATATTTACCTGCCAGCAGTGGTTAACAAAACAAGATTCCAGACTTAGATCCATGACAGGCATCCCAGAAATGATGTCCCCATATTCCTCCTAGCATTACTTTCCTTTTATATAACACAAAGATGTCCATTTAGTAAGTAGAAGAGGCTGTTATTTACCACTGACTTTTATATTGCAGTTTCTGCTCTGATGATGATGACGATGATGACTATGATGATGTTGATATGTAAGTGGCCGACTACAACAAGTATTAAGTGTGATGTGACAGTTGGCCCATACCCTCCTGTAGCGGGTCATGGCTAATATGGATTTGTATGTAGTTATAGCTAGCAATAGAACACTACAACAAATGCCACATAGGAGGTGTGGATTAGCCCTCTGTTTTGTCTCAACATTCCACCTAAAAAACAACTGATGTACTGAAGCTTTTACTAGCATAGCTATACATATTACCAGCTCTCCAGTTGCTTAAAGAGGAACTGAACTCTGGACGTTGAGCCCAAACAGGCAGGAAGAGGGCAAAGAACTAGTCACCAGTATTGCCCACATTGTGTTCTGCACCATGTCTCTCTGTGGAGGCAGCCATTTTGGTGTAAGCAGGGCTTTGGTTCCTCATATCAGAGCCTGCAGCAAGGGAAACAGTGATTCAGCACAGCAGACACATCAACAAATCCCACTCAAACTCCCTGACGCTAGCATCCAGAGGCAGCAATGCCTGGGATTTACACTGCAGGTATAGAGCTAAGAAGCACAGAAATGCTTGGGCAAACTCATATAGCAAGAAGTGTACTGCCACTTTTCAGGAGGAATTCCAAACAAAACGTACATTTTATAGGGTGTTGCGTAATTTCTCCAAATGTGTTTCCTATACCATAATAAATCTTAGCTTTTTTTTAGTTCAGCTGCGCTAAAAAAAAAAAAATCTTAAACAAACCTCCCTGCAAGATAAGAGCATAATGTGCTAGTATGCATCTTCCTTCCAGGTTTGCGGGCTGCGGCCGTTTTGACAGCCTGAGACACCAATGACATAATTCCTGTGCATGCTTGCGGGTGTTTCGGCCACTACATGGCTCTCTCAATGGATGGCAACAATGCTGCTACAGTAAATATCTCTTAAACAGTACATGTTTAGGAGATATATACAGTACCCACAGGTAAGCCTTATTAAAGGCTTACCTGTAGATCAGGGGTGTCAAACTGGCGGCCCTCCAGCTGTTGTGAAACTACAAGTCCCATCATGCCTCTGCCTTTGGGAGTCAGACTTGTAACTGTCAATCTTGCAATGCCTTATGGGACTTGTACTTTGGCAACAGCTGGAGGCCTGCCAGTTTGACACCCGTGGCTGTAGATAATACATGAAAAATAAGGTTTACTTCCACTTTACCATATATAATGTAACTTTTTATGTTGGACATATGAGTTTTTTGTTGCTAAAGGCAAAGCAAGCATCCGACTTTAGTGTAGTGCTGAACATGTAGGCCCAATCTGACTAATCACAGGGTAAAAGTATCTTCTGAATACTGCTGAGTGCTCCATAAATGTGTATGTGCTGTTTTTCCATTGTGAGAGCCCATGACCATGAGCATTTTTTCAGTATACCTTAGTCCAGTTGAACCTCACAACTGAATGCTCCCACCAAATATAGGCAAAAGTGGCAACCATTTGGAAAGCTCTAAAGCAGGTAGATGTGTAGGTGGGTAAGTCCCTGGAGATCCTAATCTGTGCCAAGTTCCATCTTGTGAGAAGTTTAAAGTTTTGTTTTGGGGCTGAAGCTGTGCTGGGACATTTTGGTGGTGGAAGCCCACCTTGAGTCATTGGCAGTCACTACATTCCTCAAGTCTGCCTCCCATTTAGAAACATATGGAAGTGAAGATGAGTGAAAGGTTTGTAATTGTTGGGAATACAAGGAGACATTTTCTGAGCTGTGGGGATCAGAGGTATAGTATGATTTGAGTTTTCTGGTTTAGGTCTTTAGTGTGTAATGATTTAATACTGGTGGAGTTTGATAGTCAGGAAATTGTTGTTATGCTGCAATTAATCACATTGCGAAAAGGCAGCAGTATTAATAAAATCCAAAAATAAACATGAGGTTCCCTACAATGGACAGTAAAGGGGAATGGGGAGATATGAGACCACTAGAAAATTTTACATCATCCCACAATTTCAAAGGGTGGGGTGAAGGTGGGGTTAGAGACATGAGAAACATCAGTGGGGTGGTAGCCACAAGAGATTTTTAATGGTCACTAGGCTATCAAGTTAAGCTTCAATGGACACTCATAGTGGGACATCATGGGTAGCATTCCAGAGTGAAACTTTGTTCTATCTGTGGAGCATAGTATTATTTTGAGATGTGAGATAATCCCAGGCCTCCAAAACATTTAGCACGTAACAGCACTGGTTTGTGACACTCCTGGCATCTTATCAAAGAGAGAAATGTAGAACAGGCCACATGTTGGGCTCTGCATGATGAAAAATAGTTACGTAACTGTGACATCTTTACCCCTGCTATTTTTCGCATGCAGGAAACGTTATATTTGTTCTAGGATTTCAGAAGGTCTTGTAGGTGTCCTTACCAGGCCCAATTATACCCAACTATTTAGAGTATTATAAGTACTTATTAAAAAGGTGTACAGATAAGGGAGTTTAGCAAAAAAACTATTGAAAGGGGAAAATGTGCTCTGCATATCTGACAGGGTGAGGGGGTAAAGAGACAATAAAGTTGAACTCCAGGAAGCCTAAAAACCCTCCTCTCTTGTTGCTAGACCAGTCCTACAACCTCTTCCCTATGCTCCAGCAGTCTAAGGTCTTTGGAGGTCATGAGAACTGATGCAGGGACCTTAGCCCCCCACACTGGACATGAGGATGCCAAGGAACAGTTGACCACTGGAGCATGGGGAAAGATATCAGGATCAGATGAGCAAAGGTGCATTTACATCCCCCAGATGTAAACAGGCAGTTGAACCTTTCAGGGCATGTGCAGCCCCCCCCTAGCAAGGGAGGATTTTAGGTTTCTTGGAGTTGGTATTTAAACACCTTAGATTTTAGCGGATAGGACAATAGTTATCCCCAAATTTTCAAGACACTGCATAAGGTTGGGAAGACACAATGTGATTAGAGAAGTAGGGCAAAATGTAAAATGCAAAATAAGCAGAATTTGTGTTGAGAACCTACCATCTCCAATCCACTAATATTGGGGAAGAGTCTAATTAAACGGATGCTCAATAGCTAAAACCAGCAGGAGCAGAGGCAGTGGGCATCCCTGTTTGGTTCCTCAACATATGTTAAGTGGTTTAGACTGCATATTGTACATAAAATGTTGGATTAAAATAGAGGGATTTGACCCACAATAAAAAATGTTTGCCGAACCATTGTTGTAGTACTAAGAAAAGATCCCATAAGAGGGAGTCAAATTGTTCTTTGACATCCAAAACTAAGAATTTTTCCTTGACTTGCATGTTTGTGACAAGAGGATTAAACAGTAAATATTTTCTCCGGGCTGTCTCCATGGAATGAAACCCACCCGATCTCTCATAATCAAAGCACCTAGGCTTGATTTTAGGCATGTGGTCAGGATTTTGGCCAGCAACTTGATATCCAAATTTATAAGGGAAATGGATGAACATTGGACCAAGTTGTGGTGACTTTTAGACTTTGAAAGTATAAATATAGATGCTGCTGAGTGAGCCATGGTTTGAAACAGCTCACCTTTTTCAGATCACCTGTTCTATTTACAGCTTGGTGACTTTTTTTTCATCTCTTGTTGGTATATTAATTATTTAAAGGAGTATGTGTTTCTCCTCCCTATATCTGTGCAATGGTATTAATTATTAGGTTATGGTTTGCATTTGCTTTTAAAAATAATCAATGGAAAACTAATATATTTTTATTTTTCTCGAAGACCTGGCAGTGTGGACCTCCATAGTGACATATCTGCTGATGAGTCTCCCCCTCCCCTACCCCCTAAGGTAACATTCACATCTGTGAATTTAGTTTGACGTACAGCACCTGTTCCCCTTTCTCATTTACTCTGTCTCATTATACTGCAGCCCAGATTTCGCACCTCCTCTGCTGATGTAAAAAGGATCAGGATCGCCTGCACACTCCTAGCACTTTGGTACGATGTTACAGTGGACCCAGCAGACCCAGAAATGTAGCACAGGCCTATCAGGAAGGCTTAAGGAAACAGTTGCCAGCGGCTAGCTCTGGTGAGTAGTGCTAAGCGGAGAGCAACAGCTAAATAAACCAACTTTAAAAGTATGTGGTAGATGATTCTGTTACAACATACATGCTTTAACCTCCTCGGCCGTCTGATTATTTCCGATTTTTTGTGCTGAAAGCGGTACCATTTTTTTTGCATGGAAATATGTAGTTTTTTATTGTAGGCTGTAATTTTTAGGAATAACTCACTGAAATCTGTACGAACAAGAGTCTAGTAAACATCCCGGGTAAGATAAAATTTGAAACACCAAATCATAAATTATAATTTAATAAATAATCATAAAAAAATAATAATATAATAATAATAAATTTAATTCAATAATATATTCAAACCAAAAACACTGAAATTTTAAATACAGAGGCAAATTCGCACATCGCTGAGCAAAGTCGCAAAATCGTTTTTCAGTGTCTGATGAGGAATTCCCCCACAAATCATTATCACTCAATTCTGCAAGTGGTTCTGATTTACTATCGCTGTTCTCTAGCTGGTCTAAAACCGCTTTTGACATAAAGGGATGCCATGGACTTTTCTAAGTTTCCAGGCAGAAAGAACAGTCAAAATGCAGGCAGGGCACAGGACAAACCACTAGGGACAAAATGTATGTGAAATGCATTGAAACAGCAATGTTTTACTATGTAATAATAATTTTTTAAAAAATGAAATTTTTTAAAAATTTCAAATGTGCCACCGGTTCCGGCGCCCGTACGTCCCGACGTCACAGGGACCGGAACACGGAAACCGGATGCCGGCATCGGCCGGAGGAGATGGCCAGGGGGGGATGCTGCAGGGGACACATCGTGGGAGCGAAGGACAAGGTAAGTGCTGCAGGGACTCCTTGAGCAACTCCGCATGGTAAGCCCGAGTGTAGCTCGGGGTTACCGCTTGTGGTACTTAAATTTTACCCCGAGCTACACTCGGGAATACCGCTAAGGAGGTTAAAGAATATCTACACCCAAAAATGTAATATATTGTAGTTTACCAGTTCATGGATATAGTGGTTCCATTGGTTTTCTTTTTCTCCAGAACATTTTCAGCAAGTACAGAAAATTCCTGTTTTATCTTGCCTGAAATATCTTTTCTGTGAGCTGAACTGAAAGTACAAACTAAATATTACCTTCCTTATGTAATCTTCTAATCTTCCCAACTGCAACGTGAAGGAGTTTGAAAAGAGACATATTTGAAGTTCAGTCTAGGTGTCAACCATAGATACAATGGAGTGAGTGAGCGTAGCCAACCAAGGACAGGAAGTGTGCTATTGTCTGCATTACTAGGTGAAAATAAAGGGAAAACACATGACAAAACTACCTTACAGTCCACCAGGGAAGGACAGCCTGTAAGTGAGGTCAGAAACTGCCACAGTGAGAGGCCTGAATGCAATTTAACCAGAGCTACAGGATACAAGAACAGTGTGAGTACCTCTACACCCCTGGGCCTACAGGAGAGGGATGCTGGGTACAATACTTAAATGTAAAAAATCCTCCTGTGCTCAATGGAATGATTATTATTATACAGCTGCTGTCACTCAAGTCCAAACAGAAAGAAAAAAATAGTGAAGCGCTTATATCACATAAATAAATAAAATTAAAGTGCATTCAAAAAAAATATTATAAATTCCATATTCTTTTGTGACAAATCTATATAATACACACTAGTACCTCCCTCTAATGGGAGAAAAAAAAAATAGTGCAACCGAATATAATTATGCTTTAGTGGTTCAACACACACTGTGAAGAGAGACCTATTATACCGTGCTTATAATTAGAAATTCCAATATACAACAAAATGTGAATAAAATTAGTGAAAACAAATTATATAGTATATCAATTATCCACATAAAATAGTGTCTAATTCACACACATTTTTATATACATCATAAGTGAAAAAAAGAAAAATGTCCATGCATGTGACTCTGCTTTTTTGAAAAAAAACACACGTGAACACCATAAATTGTTACACTCACATTATCCTCTTGGTTCACAGGCTTTTTTACCACAACCTATGGATAAATCTGCATGCACTGGGGAATCCTTCGGGTTCGTCATTTCCGGTGACGCGTGTCTGGACGCCGCGGCCATATTGGATTCCCCAGTGCATGCACATTTACCCATAGGTTGTGGTAAAAAAGCCTGTGAACCAAGAGGATAATGTGAGTGTAACAATTTATGGTGTTTTACCCTTTCTAAATAAATATACTACACTATGGAAAGTTTTATGTTTTTCTATGAGTCTGGAGTGGAGAATTAAGAGAGGAGAAGGAATAAGGAGTCTGCCAGAGGAGATATACCACTGAGGTGGAAACTGCTTTGGGGCCCTGTGTGGGTCAAGGAGGGGAGGTGAGCAGGCATTGCTGCCATTTGGAGGATTTAATTTGCACTTAGAAGTGGAGATCGCGTGTGTTTTTCAAAAAAAGCACAGAGTCACATGCATGGACATTTTTCTTTTTTTTTCACTTATGATGTATATAAAATGTGTGTGAATTAGACACTATTTTATGTGGATAATTGATATACTATATATTTTTATTCACTAATTTATTCACATTTTGTTGTATATTGGAATTTCTAATTATAAGCACGGTATAATAGGTTTCTTCACAGTGTGTGTTGAACCACTAAAGCATAATTATATTCGGTTGCACTATTTTTTTTCTCCCATTAGAGGGAGGTACTAGTGTGTATTATATAGATTTGTCACAAAAGAATATGGAATTTATAATATTTTTTTTGAATGCACTTTAATTTTATTTATTTATGTGATATAAGCGCTTCACTATTTTTTTCTTTCTGGGTACAATACTTACCTAGTTCTCCCTGGGACAGTGCTGCATGTCTGTCTTGGAATATCTTGCTCCAGGGTACTCTTCAAAGTAAAGGCAGGTAGATGAGCATTTCCTAGCTGGGGTCTGAAGAGAATTCATCTAGAGGGGACCAGGTGCTCCTCATAGAGGCTGTGCTTTTTATTTATAAAGAGATTGTGCCACTCTGGCTGGAGTAGAAAGTTCAGGATCTTATCTTTTTGTACAGAATTAGGAAGTTTGTCCTCAGAGTTATTACTGCAAGTCAACTTGGGCATCCCATGTACCCCTAAACCTTGTCCAAGTTATCTCCCAAATAAAACAACAAAAACAAGCTCATGGACTGGTGGAAATCTGAAAATGTGTGTTGCTTGGCTGTACAGGATATAAGGGGACCCAATACTGAGCAGCTCCTTCATGGGTGAGTGCTACATAATATACAGGTTTCAAAATGATCAAAGGCAACTGGGACTTTTTATTTATTTATTTCAGGTACTTATATAGCGCCATCAGTTTACGCAGCGCTTTACATATATATTGTACATTCACATCAGTCCCTAACCCTCAAGGGGTGTACAATCTAAGGTCCCTAACTCACATTCATATACAAGGGCCAATTTAGACAGGATCCAATTAACCTACCAGCATGTCTTTGGAGTGTGGGAGGATACTACCCGGAGGAAACCCACGCAGGCACAGGGAGAACATGTAAACTCCAGGCAGGAGGTGCCATGGCTAGGATTCGAACCCACGACCCTAGTACTGCCATGCGGAAGTGCTAACCATTTAGCCACTGTGCTGCCCAGAACCTTCTGGAGTGGGGGCTTTGCCTTAAGGGCTGAAGGGTATCGGGGTAAGGGAGTATATTACTGTATCGGCCCAGGGATCTATGTGGCATAGTGTCCCAAGGTTCCTGAAAGGATGATTTTTTTTCACAGAGAAAGGGCCATCAATGTGTCTGGTTGTCATGTAGCACCATTGTCTTAGATTGACATGTAGTTTTTAATACACTTTAAAGTGATCCTGTTGTATCCGTAAAGCATTTGAGGCAAATATGTACCTGTAAGGGATCCTGCAAATGGACATAATAAATTACTGATGTATTTACACAGGAAGTTGCTGGCAGGCAGATCCTGCTTAAAAAAGTGGAAGTAAGGTTTGTAAAGAGCTTGTGGTAAAGAAGAGAACATTCATAACTTTCCTACTGTGCATGCTGCTGAACTCCACTCTGTTCTTAACTACATTATTTCCCCCTAAAGTCATCTGGGAAACTGACACTTCCTGGAGTGTCAACCTTCTTGGATCCATCATAACTCTCACCAGTTTCTTCTGCTGCCCTCCATGTCAGTGCTGCCTCCTGTCATGGCAATTTGTTCTGATCCTGACTACATACTGTATCTCCAACATTGTCTCTTTCCTTTTAGAACCATCTCTCTTGATCCGTGATCTTCAGTCTTTGTCCCCCCCTTCTCTACCACCAAAGAAAGGAAGAACACAAGCAAAACAGGTATGCATTCTGTATCTAAACCATGTAAAATACAGTGGAGTTGATTCACTAAAGGCAAATATGCAGGAAATTACTTTGATCTTATTTTTTGATGGTATTCCTTGGATTTTAGCCTAGGCTTTCAATTTAGATTTGGGGGTGTATGTTGGCACTAACTCCTTCCTCCACCCATTGCCTCATTCTGCCTTTGTAATTCAGTAGTTCAGTGACCAATCAAGGCTCTGATATTTCCACATTTGAATGAGATGAGAAGGGAGCCATTGCCAATGCAGTAGTCAAGGCCTTCTGCTCTGTCTAATTCTACGACATTCCAAGGAAAGTTATATTTTGCATAGGAATTTTCCCCAGAACTTAACAAATGAGGGGAAACTTTGCTGACTTTGATCATCCAACTGTGTTCCAATTGTCCTATTGTGTTTTTTTTTGTTTTTTTTTTTTTTTTTTTTTTTTTTTTTTATTTTCTTTGCATGTGAATGGGTGTTCTTTGCAAAGTGAATTTTCACCACATTCACGAAACTTTGGGCAAAATTCCCAAGCAAAGTAAATAGCCCATTTGCCTTTAGCTATTCAAACCCAATGACAGGACTCCAACTGCTTTGCATGGACTGAGTGTTTTGAATGCTCTGGATGGATGTGCTGTGCTTGAATAACAAAGGCATTGGCTTCCCGGGTAAGATCTTAGATTGATTTATTGAGCCACAACACCTAAAATTAGCTATGAATCACACGTACAACTGCTCACTATCCTGTAAAAAAAGTATATTTCTCTAAAGATACACTCTGGATAAGCATAAACATTATGCATTTAAAGGAAATACTGAGGTAAGAGCAACTTAAGGTGTGTCTAAACCCAAGAAAAAAAAATGCAATATATATATTGTAGCTTACCAGTTCTTAGATGTGGTGGCTGGTTTAGTTTATTTTTTTTTGTTTTTTTTTAGCCTTTGCCTTCATTTTAACCTGGTGATCCTGCCAGGGTGGAAGTTGTTATGTAGTCCACAGAGAGAACTGGGGACACATGTTAACTGATAAGAGTGCAGCAGAGTCAGATAGCACAGGAGGTTTTCAGTTCACAGGATTTCTGGCAGGATCAGCAGGTAGTTTTTTTTTTAAATTTTCAAACAGATATAACAAAAGATTTTTGGTGGTATGTTTAACAGACCAAAGGGAGCAAATAAGGGAAGTTTTGTTGCTGGGGTTTACACATGCTATAAAGTTTATGCAGGAAATTACTTTGATCTTATTTTTTAATGGTATTCCTTGGATTTGAGGCCTAGGCTTTCAATTTAGATCTATGTTGGCACTAACTCCTTCCTCCACCCATTGCCTCATTCTGCCCTTGTAATTCAGTAGTTCAGTGACCAATCAAGGCTCTGATATTTCCACATTTGAATGGCATGAGAAGGGAGCCATTGCCAATGCAGTAGTCAAGGCCTTCTGCTCTAATTCTACAATTCAGGGACCCCAGAATGACACACAAATTGATTTGAAGGCTAAAGTAAACTTATAGTGAGGGACTTATGGAGGCTACCTTTGTCTTACTTCCCTTTGAAAATGTTGGAGTGCTTGGAGTCACTGACCTGCAGCAACAAGCAGTAGGTACAGCTGAAATTTCCTTATCTCCATACTTCTTCTGGGTCAGTCAGTCAGAAAGTATTGAAGCCTTTGGATTACCATGACATCCGGGGAACTAGCATTAAAACATAGGTAATCTGTGGGAGGTTTCTCAGTGTTGGTTTGCTTTTATGCAAGTATGGTACCTTCTTTTCAGCATTATTGGTAGCTTAGATATTTTTTTTTTAATTCTCACGGGTTCACTTTATATTCACTTAGAGGGCCACAATTACTCCGACTCTGTGCTATGGCAACATTATAAATAATGTTCAAGGATAATTGCATTCTACTTTCCTAACGTTTGGTATCTTTATCTTCTTAACACCCCTGAATCTGATGTGTAAAGGTGCTGCAACACATCTATCAATGTCTGTCTCTCTTTCTCCCTCTCTTCTTATTAAAAGTGGAAGCGTAAACTGTTGTCAAAAAAGTCAAAGAGTAACTGTTGAGGAAAAAAAAAAACAATCCAACTGGTGTGATCAATGTACATTGCAAGGATATTAGCAACATTTTTTTGCAGATTTCTACCTGCTTCTGCTGTGAATAATAAGCCATTTGTTTCACCACATCCTTTGCAGACTGATTCTGAATAGGAGGGTTTTGTTCATTATAATCAGCTGATGCACTCTTCGTGTTCTAATGTGAAAAGCTGCAGGGTCTGCATTCTTTTGAACCTTGGGAAGTATCTCAACAAAAAATAGCATTTCTGTCACAGGGGGTGCCTAAAATCAAATTTGTATCTGAGTGCAGACTTCTGGAAAAATTAGTAAGCCAATCACACAAGTAGGAATTGACATTTTTGGAAGTGTTTTGTATACCAACAGTATACAGGACACCTCCAGATTGTCCTTTTGAATTTTATACAACATTACCATACTACAGATTGAACTGGAAAGGTAATTTTTAATAACATTAAATTAAATTATTGCTTGTGTAGCGATGGTAAATTATATATAAATGTATTTATTTATACTTTTTTTCCACCAAAGTGGAGTTACCCTTTACACTAAAGTTTCAAATACACGTTCCCATCAATTCTATGCATTAGAATGAAGGTATATTATAGTAAGATATAAGACTGCCTTTGCATTGGCCAGTTCTCCTTGTATGACTCCACATCTTTCATATCAGGGAGAGTTTCAGCTGAAAAAGATCTTTAACGGATGTCCACTGAAAATCCATTCCGCAACTACCTGGAGGCATCCAACAACAAAAGGTGTGTAGCTTTCTCTCTTCTCTCTATAGCACTTTTTATGCTTCTCCATAACCGATAAGTTTTATTGTGTATACTATAGATATGCATGTTATCCTGGGAGCTGAGCAGGGCATCTATACGCTAAACCTCTCAGAGTCACAGGCCTCTCTTGACTTGGTAAGTGAGAATTCAGCTTTTGCACACCGTGCAATTTTTTGTTTGATTTTATTTCCTTAATGCTTAACATGGGACAAAATAAGGACACAATATTGTGTATAAAGTCCATCTCCAACTAAAATTAATATTTCAGGTACATTGCTCAATGGCTTCTTACCCCTGAAAATATACTTATCATAGACCAAGTTATATTTTTGTTTTTCTTATATCTTCTGTAGCTGACCACTGGCTGGACAACTTGGGTCTATTCCATCAACAATGTGTTAATGTCCATAACTGGTAAGATGGATATGTCAACTGATAATACAGTAAACTTATTGACTAAGGGATCTAGTATTCAGTGTGTACCTGTCTGTCCATAGGTAAAGTCTCCCACCTGTACTCTCACAGCCTGCTGACTCTTCATGAACAGATACGGAAAGAATCCCGTTTGGCTCACATTCCAACACACAGACTGCTGCCCAGGTACTGGCTTGGTAGGAGGGTATGGTGAGCAGTATAGTTATAAGAGAACAATAGTGATGAACCAAATGTACCGGGGTTTGGTTCGAGCAGGGCTTGGTACTCATTTGGCGATGCATAAAAAAAAATGTACAGTGTAGATCAATCACGCTTTGACACCAGCCAAAATAAAAAAACCTGACGACTAAATGCAATGATGCCATTCGCCTGTGTCGTAATATATATGGGAAGGGGCAGGGATGGTGGCCACATCTTTCCTCAGCTATGGACATGTGGCCATATATTAAGGCAATTGTGTCATCCCCAATCCTTGCCCCTTTGCCTAAATGGCTGGGGATTCCTGGTAATGTAAATGAATGGACCAGGTGGCATCAGCGATTGTCAAGGATGCAACTGGTGAAGGCACTCATTCCTTAGCAATCATTAACAACAGGAATCGGTCATGTTCTTCCAGGCTGAACACCCTAAATGTTTGGCATTTGAATATATGTTCGGATCGAACACTCAGCTGCTTCCTACAAGACAAGCCTCTGTCCACATAGCAGAACTCAGAACATTAAAACCCAATTCCAGGCAACTAAAAAATTATCCCTTGCAGTTGGGCTGTGCCTTCACTGCAAGGGTTATTGCTTGTTTAGGTTTGGGGGAACAATAAAGAAAGATTTACTTACCTGATGCTCTGCTCAAACCTGGGGGAGTTGTTGTAAGTGGGAATATCCAAAATGATTTCCCACCTCTCTTGTTGAAACAAACCTTTCGATTCCCTGGAAGCTATACATGGTTTCCAGACAGTCAAAATAGAAAAGAAAAAACATTTGACGCTCTGGACATGGTTCTTGCTCTTGTAAAACCCCAAAGATGATATTGGGAATAGATGACTTGACTTGGGCCGCACACAGAGTGGGGTACAGAGTAAGTGCCACCCAAATGAAAAAATCAAAAATTAGAGCACCTAACGCTCATCCGAAAAGTTCATGATCCTTTATTGATGATAGCAATGTGACACAGGAAGAAGAATGGTAACCAATGCGTTTCGGGGGCCACAAAATCCCCCTTCCTCAGAGTTTTGGCTTAATGTTAGATCTTCTTAGATGGGCTCGGTAGAACCTCCTGAAGGGCAATCTTTATCAGGGCAAATGATCATGCTGTCTCACTTTACTTGTAATGGAGATTGCAGTAAGAAAAGCATTTTGGAAAGCTTACCCTAGGGCTGAATCATCACAGGGTTATCAGTTTGTTGACTACAGTATGAACTAACAAGGCTAAATTAGTAGTATGTGTGTCTTTTGTTACCAGTTTTACTATTTATTGTTAGTAATATATTGCTTAGCATTTATGTGTATTTATTACAGAACAGTTGTCCAGATCTGTATACTGTTGTGCTATGTTAAAAAGTATGTCATAGTTTACTCTTTGGCTCCTTCTTTTCAGCCAGCTTTGCCCATCCTGAAATTTTGTTGCACCTTAACTAGATTGGTGACCAAGGCCCTAAGAACTTAAAGTGGTTGTAAATCTCCGAAATGAAAAATGAACAAAGCATATACAGTAATCTGTGGTGCATACTTGCCTTGATTTCTGTCTGCTCTGTCATGTCTTTGGTGTTGGCATTTGACTGATGTAGATAGCAAACAATTCTGGGAGATGGCCCCGCCCCACCTCCAGCACACAGCAGGTGATTGAGAGCCTCTGTTTTGCATGTTTCCTTATGAGACTGTATAGAGAGAGGTGTGTCCTTGCCCTCCACTCAGGTCTCAGATTACACACAACTCGACTTGCTTTATGCTGTGCAGTGCAGGACAATAGATACCAGCCCCTAACATTTTACACAGGAACACTGTGTAAAATGTGTTTTAAAAGGCTGTAGAGGAGAGAGGGCTGCATAAATACAGGTATAACTGATGTAGGAGGATTTGTTTAATCTATATGTACCACCTAAGGCTAGTCACTTCAGTGGATATACATAGGGTTTACAACCACATTAAGTATGCTGCATATTTGATGCTGTGTTTTATTGTTAGAGAGAACACAGATCATGAATGTCTGGCACTAGAAATACATATGGGTGAGCTGTCCTGCATTTGGCTGCTGCTTCTGCCCACATATTATAGAAAAGAAAGGCACACTGATCAGTACAATGACAGAATGTTGTAGATTACCTTCTAGGAACTCTCACAGTAGAAGGGTATGGTAAAAAAGAAAGCAGTATTATCAGATAGTACAAGTTGAGACTGCATGCTCTAAACAAAAAAAAAAGTAGAGGGACAATGCAAGTAAACAGGGAAGAGAGGGATAAATCCCTCTATATTTATTCTTTTTTTTTTTCTTTTCCTTTCTCCAGAAAGAAATCTGCATCCACCAAGGTTCCGGACACTAGAGGGTGCAAGAATTGTTGTGTGGGTAAGATTTCCCATATTTCCTTCTTTTTGTATTGTTTAAAGGTATCAACAGACATTAGACCAATAACAGAAATGGATAAGGAAAAAAACCTATCCAGTAAAAATCTTTTTGTTCTCCTGAAACACACATTAATGTGTCTTTATGCATCCTACAAGAGTCAAAAACATATAGCATCAGGTTATCTTGGCTTGAACAAAGGAAAAATAGCAACTAATCAAACCAAGAAATCCAATTCAACCAGTCATGAGTTTGGTTGACAGATGGAGCGATATGCCTTGCACGTATGGTCATTGTCTTCCAATAAAATGACTTTTTGTGTTGTCAAAACATTCAAATATTTAAAAAAATGTTAAATGTAAAAAAAAACCAAAATACACCCTAGTCCACTACTGTGTTGCTTAGTCTCCTACTGCCATTTTATTTCATTTACCCAATTTTCTCTGTCTTCTTGTTCTTAGCCCATGATGGTCTGCGTGATAGTTGGTTTTTGTGTGTAGCGATGGAAACCAGTGTACTATTGTTGGAATGGTATCAACCCCTTGAAAAGTTCCTGTTGATGAAGGTAAGAGCATTCACCTGGTTCTTCCATTTTCTGTATCACCAGTGTGGGTTTAGCTTGTCCCCAACTCCATTGCACCTTCTCAGACCATGATATTTTTTATTACCTTCTTGAAAAAAATACCAAACCTGAAGTCAAATAGTTTAAACTTGCATCTTTATTAACATAACTAACTTGTTAAGTTAGCTAACAAAGGGAATTGCTTAAACTCCAAACATCCTGCATTTGCCTAGCATTTAAATAGATTATACAGTAAAAGCAAAAATCACAAATTTGTATATGAAATGCCATAATTAAAATATATAACAGAAAACAAGCAAAAATTTAAACCAATCAAGTCAATTCTTTATAGATAAGGCTTCCTGGGACTTCTACAGGGATTGTATACTGACCTTTAGCAGATGCATGTCAGTCAAATGACAATACCTCTTGCCATTTCAATGGCATGGTGTCAAATTGTAACAAGTTGTTTTTGCCTATACAAACACATTAACCATCTCCTTCTATTATTTTTCCAGAATCTTTTATACTGTTGTTCTTCCAATGTTTTGTTCTTCTTGTTGCAGCATTTTGATTTCCCCCTGCCTTGTCCCCTGAAAACATTTGAAATGCTGGTGGTGCCAGGAGAACAATATCCTCTTGTCTGCATTGGGATCCACAAAGGGTCGTCCTCTAATGGCAGGATCCAGTTCCAGACCATCAATCTTAGCTCTCTGAGCTCCTGGTTTACAGAAAGTAGAGACGGTGAGCTATGAGCATATGGGCTTCTTTGACGGTTGGTGCATCCAAGACCATGCAAAACTTCCAGAACAATTCAATGCCCTCCTTATTATATAGGTCTGCAGGAAGAACTGTCTAGGGCCATCTAAAGCTAGTTGGTGAAAGTGAGGCAATACATACTTTTGTTCAGGAATTTTCAAACATGGCTTCAGTTAGGCTACAGGCTTGGTGGTTATCGGCTTCAGTCAGGCTACAGGCTTGGTGGCTATCCCCTACAATTATGAGTTAATAAACCAGAATGTGTGGAAATGTGAAATGGTATAATTTTATTATTTGGAAGACTTGGGGTTATCTTGTGAGCTGGTTATGGCTGAGCAATGAGATTGTCCTCTGGAAGTTCACAGGAAATGAGATTTCCAGGACTACATAAGTGGGTTTGGCTGTTATCAGTGAGATGGTATATCAAATGTTAATTTGTTTGCTTAGATCACCAATCCCCCAACTAGGGATCAGTGGAAGTTTAGGGTTCCTCAAGAGGTTGCTGGAGGTTCCTTGAGCTGTGGCTAATTGATCTCGCATTTGAAAGAGCCTGCATAGTGCCATCATGACACCTAGCTGTCTGTAACGTTTGCAGTATTCCTAATGACCACCAATGTAAGGGACATATTTTCCTATTGACCTGCAATGAATTGGTAAATGTTAGTGTTTGTTTTAGGGGTTCCTCTGGGGTCTGGGGTAAAAAATGTTGAGAAAGATGGTAAAAAAATCTTAAAATGAAAACAATAGAGCACTTTCCTTGTGCAACGTACTGTATACGTTCAATTAACATGGATAATATTCTTATTGCAAAAGACTGTATTCTGGATTTTTCCACAACACTTTCATTCACTAGGAAAAAAAAACACCAGTCGGGTGGTCACAGTATTGGACCCAGGACATGTGATCTGGGTGCCCGCATGAGTACCACTCATGTTCACCAGAATGTATTTTCTAGTGCAAGTTTTACACTATACATGCTGGATTGATGTAAACTGCATTTGTAAGATACTTATCAAGAGCCCCCTCTTTGGAATATACAGTATGTACCATGACTACCATGCTGTCTTTATGGTGACCTACTTCCATTGGGTCTGGATGCTTCCCCATTGGGAAGTTGGTCCTTCTATTTTAAAATTATGTATACTAGACCATTGGCTGTTTACTGATTGTACCAGAATTTCCCACCCAAGAGGCAGTGGCTTTACCTTGGCTTATTCATTTGCACCTCTGTGGGTAACATGCACATGCTATGAATTCCAGTCTACCCTGCTGTTTGCTGTTAAAGCGGAGTTCCAGTGAAAATAAAAAAATATATGTCAGCAGCTACAAAAACTATAGCTGCTGACTTTTAAACAACACCCACCCACCTGTCCCTCAATCCCACGGTGTTCTCCCCACAGCCAGTTTCACCGGGTCCGGCATTTTTAGTGTGGGCTCCCGTCTGTGACAGCTCATGGCTTCACAGCTGGGTGCCCACTGTGCATGCGCAAGAAGCGCTGTGCTTTGTGAATGGTCCCGTAGTCTTCTGGGACCTGTCACATGTCCCAGAAGACTACGGGGAGGGAGGAGGACAACTTCTGCTTCTGATCACCTAGACAATCGCACCAGAAGCGGGAGCGGGTACCTGTCAATTTCAGATACCCATCCTTAACGGGGAGTGAGTGGGACCAATCCTTAAAGCGCAACTACCCCTTTTGGGTGGAGCTCTGCTTAAAGATCGATCGAGTCCACATGTGAATTGTAATCAGAATCTTTGCATGTTGTAAACATGTATGTTGAGAGTCATTTTTTATTTTGTGTAATAGATTTTTTTTAATGGTACATAATAAAGTTATTTTTACGGAAGTCATTTTCTCTTTCTCTCTATATGTCCACACAAAGTCCATGACTACATATTTTGTTTGTAATTGTACACGATTTGTGGGATGTGGACATATAACACACACACATTCTGCCATCTTGTTCCTTCCCAAACCACTACTGAGAAAATGGGCCCAAAGACAGTCCTTCTCATTTATTACAAAGCAGGTGACAAGGTTGAAAATAGAATCTTAAGCTGGCCATACACTTTGCAGTTTGTGTATAATGTCCAAAACGTTGTCATGTAAGGGAATGCCTAAACAATCAGTTGAATTTGTAGTAGTTGGTAGATCTAAAAAGGATTGTACATTCAAACTATGTCTAGTTTAGGTTTGAATGTTAAGGAACAATTTCAAGTTTATCTTATTTCACACTGAACTGTCCTTTAAATAATACCTTGACATTTCCATTACATACCTTAGTTTTGACCTAGGAATGTCACCACTAGGTCTGTATGAAATGCTGGCCGATCATGGCTGTTAGGAAGGGCCAGCAGGATGCTGTACATGGCTTCCTGAAAACATTAAGGCCTCAGTACTTAAAGCGGAGCTCCAATCAAAATCTAAAAAAATAAGTCAGCAGCTACAAAAACTATAGCTGCTGACTTTTAAAAAACAGACACTGACCTGTCCCATGATCCAACGGTGTCCTCACTGCAGCCTGTTCATCTGGCATCTTCATTGTAGGCACCTGGCTGTGACAGCTTGCGGCTTCACAGTTGGGTGCCCATTGCACATTTGCGAGTAGCACTGCTTCTTGTGAATGGTCCCATAGTCTTCTGGGACCTGTCATGTGTCCCAGAAGACTGCAGGGAGGTAGAGAGGACAATTTCTGCTTCCTATCGCCTAGGCGGTTGCAGCGGAAGTGGGAGCAGGTACCTGATTTTGACATATGCTCCCAAAGGTGCCAATCCTTAACAGGAAGTGGGGGGTAAGGCCTTTTGGGTGAAGCTCCGCTTTAAAGTCTCAGTAATCCCTCAAGAGGGGAAGTTCTGCTTTTCCACCCCCCCCCCCCCCCCCCCGCCCTCTTCTAGTATCAGTATTATAATACATTTTTCTTTGGGGGGGGAGCAGGTTCCTGTTTTTTATAGGTACCTTCTCTCACTTCCATGTCCCCTTTTCCCCAAAGCCTTCTGGCACATGTCACATTTCAGTACAGGAGAGGAGCCCCTACAACTATGCAAGATGGAGGGAGGGAAGGGCAGAGTTTAATTCATAAATATTTTGTGTTTTCTTATCAGAGGGCTCCTGTTCAGGCCGAGTACAGGTGGCTCAGATTGGCTGTGACCAATTCTTGGTACTCACAAACAGTAAGTCTTATTTACATTCAGTCTTTACTCTCATCTTTAATTCTGAAGTTTAGGTATGAATATTTTTACATTGTTCCAGCCAGGGGCGGACTAACAACTCATGGGGCCCCCGGGCAATAGGAGATCATGGGGCCCCTGTGTTCTTGCCCAACCTCAAAAAAGCCTATGAAAAAGATACCGGGGGCATCTCATGGGGCCCCTTACTGACCCCGGGCCCTCGGGCAGTGCCCAAGTTTCCAAATGGTCAGTCCGCCCCTGGTTCCAGCTTTGACCAGTGTAAGTATTGATGTGCCACCTGTGGGACCCCCAGCTTGCCACCTTGTCTCATTAGAAAACACTTTGCATTCGCTAAGATGATGCGAAGTGTTCTCTGAATGGCACCACTGTTGATGGGTATATTCTAGGTATTAGCTATTTTTTTTTTTTTACTCTGCTACATTTAATGTCCAATTAAACTTTGTTTATACTGCCTAAATATATTCAAGGAGCAGTAAAACAAAAAGTGTTCAACATCCTAAAGTTTTGTTTCTTTAGAAAAATGCCACAGCCTTGATAGAAAAGCCTGTCCCCTGCCAGCATGCTGCAGAGAAGGGCCCTAGCTCTCTGTATTGAAGCAGTGGTCTCTCTGCATGCCCCTTACTGAGTCAGAGCCAAACACCTGACTCATGTACTGTAGATCAATCCATAGTGCAGTAATGTGCTGGTGTATGCTGAGAGACCACTGCTTCCACACAGACAGCACATGCTCTTTAGCATGTAGCAGGGGTTAGGCTTTGGCTACCAAAAAAAAAAAGGATTTTGTTGATCTTAACACTACCCCATTGCACATACTGCTACATTACTGCTGGAGCCAGGCTCATTTGCTTGGGTGGGCAGTGTGGGTTAATTAGTTAGAACTATGTTCATGGGAGTAGGTGGCCATTGTGGTAGAGGCTAGTGATTTTTAGTAGTGTTTAATGGCAGGTCCTGTTTGAACACAGGCTTTGTTTTAGTTGCTACTTTGGTTATCATCATACATGAACCTGTTGTGTCTGCTCCATCCACAATTCTCACAAATGATAACTTTTTGTTTTTTCTAGACACACTAAATGTGGTGGATCATTATGGAGAGCCCCTACACACATCTTGTGTTCCGAATATCTTGTTCACTTTTCCGGTGGACGCAGTGGGTGAGCATGGGTTCTTTTCCTACAACCTGAGCTGTGTCTTCAATTTAAGGGTAAACTACATGTTTGCTAAAAAAAGAAGACAACTCATAAATTTCTCCATTTCAGTGTGCAACTGCTGTGATTTTCTAAAACCAAATGTAGATGTCTTACATGCTAAAATGTAACCTGGATGTCCTATGGGCATTGCATACAGAATAACCTCGGAAATCTTTGCTGCTTATGTGATTGACTCACTGCTTTTCCCAAAAATTTGCACGGAGCTACACATCAAATTAGAGGCATTTATTGAGATAAGAATTTACAGCCCAAAACTTTATTTAAATCTGCTAAGTATATTCTAAAATGATTTACAAAATCACAAAGTTCATTTTCTTTTTAAATTACGCATAGCTGTAAAAGAAGAACATGTCCCTCCGAGCATGCTCTGGAGAAGGACCTCTGTGTGGAAGCAGTGGTCTCTCTGCAAAGATTTGACACTCCGTGCGGTGTCAGAACTGAGGGCTCATTCACACCATGGTGCAGAGACGTCAGTTTTTACACGTGTCCTGCAAGGGCACAACAAAATCAATTGTTCTCTATGTGCCCTGTTTACCCTACAACACTAGTATCACCTGCAGATTTTTCTGTGTAGCAATCTCCAACGTGTATAAATGAAGCA